GCCCTTTCTCTTCCACCCAGTCTTTTCCTTCCAGAGCCTGGCACAACCTATCCCTTTCCTTCTCCTTTCCATTGTGTCCCTTCTTTTCTAATCCTCTTCGTCATGCCTAAGAGATGGAAACTGAGATCCACACATTAAATCTTCATGTGGCCCTGGCTGTATTACCGGACAGGCTTTTACGCCTGGGAAAATTCAGGTTATAAATTGTACCCCAAGGCTGTGGCTCCATGAGGTCAACAACTGGGTGGCTTGGTGAAATCAAGGGGAAAAGTTAGTCAAGCTCATAGTTTTGCATTGCTAAGACTTCATCAAGCAACAGACTGAGGTCCTCATTGAATTTCTGATTTTGTTTGTTTGCTTTGTTTTAAATAGAAACCACCACATATTAGTGATTCCTCCTTCCTTCCTTCCTTTCTTTTTTTTCCCTTTTTTTCTTAAATCTGGTGTCTGGGCTTTACTCTACATGAAATCTGAATTTCTGGAGATGGAGCCTGAGTATCGGTAGGTTTTTACAAGGCCCCAAATGAGTTTGCTGTGAAGCCAGGATTGAGAATCACTAATATCTAAACCATTCCCCAAACCTGCAGATTAGCAGTGTGCTTGACCTCCAGATGACCATCATCTTGAATAGTTCTTTTAACTTGTTCAAGGATTTTCTCTGTTCAGTTCTCATTATATCTTCACAGTTCTGTGAGGCAGGTGGCTCAGATACTGTTATTACCATTGGGCAGATGGGAAAGTGAGGTATAAAAATGTTGAATGAGTTGCCCAAGACTAGGCAGCTAGTTATTAGCAAAGACACATTGCAGCCTTGCTGGACAGTCTTTTGACTGCAGACCCAGGGCTAGTTCTCCCAAACCATGTTGCCACTCTGCTTTCCCAGTCATTGAGCTCCACTACCATTGATAACTAATTCTGATACAGAAATTATCACTAGAAAACCAATGAATATGCAATCAAATTCTACAAGTAAGCTTAACAGTGTTTTTAAAAGATTCAAGTTAGAGTCAGCCTAGCAAGATGTCTTTTTCCGAAGTCCATCATGCCGTTTTGAATGTGCCTACTTCTATGCACATACTTCCTCCATGCCCACCCCCACACGTCTCAGACTGGAAAACTTCAGATAGTTCTCCATTAGGATATTATTTTCAGAAAAGCATTTTTAAAAGATTAAACAGAATCGCAAAGGTAAGGGGAACTTCACTGGTCAACTTTCCCCACTTCTCCTGAAAGATGATGAACCTGAAGTCCTTTCTAATTTAATATAAATGAAGTGGTAACACCATGCCAAACACATCACATCCATTATCTTAATTAAATCTTCAGGATAACTCAATAAGATGGGCACTACCACTACCACCATCATCAGCATCCCTATTTAACAACTGAAAAACACTGAAACTTAGAGATGCTAAGGTCCTTGGGGCTAGTAAGTTGAGACCTGGTGAGACCCCAGTAATGTACCACCTGGGTGACAGTAATGCAAATAGTAGAGGATCAACAAATCCTTAACAAAAAAAAAAAAAAAAAAAGGTCAATGAAGTGACCAGCAAACATTTCTTCCAAGAGGTAGAAGAATGGCATCTGGCTAGGCTGTCACAAATGATGACTTCAGTGGGCATTCCAGTCTGGAATCCACATAGCTACTGAGGAAGAAAAGTGACAGGAAGAGTATAGTGTGAGCCTGTACTGGGAGAAAGGGAACCTCAGGGAGAGAGAGGGAAAGGGGAGGAGTCAGAACATGAAGGGTCTTGCCTGCCTCATGAAGAAATTTAGATTTTATTTGTAGGCCACTGGAGGCTTTTAGAAGCAAGGTCTTAAAAAAAAAAAAGTAAACTGAATTTTAAAAATACAAATCTCATGGGAGTATCCAGGTTGAATTACAGGAGCAGAGCTTAGTATGAAGGAGGCCAGCTGGGAAGCTCTTCCTCTTCACTTGTTGGCTCCTTCCCTCCTAACTGGGCCTAGAATTTGCATCTTACTCCCTCCACCACTGGATTCTTCAAGGTACCTCCATTCTGTTTCGTGATTCTCATAGTCCAACATTCTACTTGAATTGCTACATCTAGGTCAGGTGACAGGGACCTACACTTGGGCAGTGAGGATGCAGACAACAGGACAAGTTTGAGAGGCAGTTGCTAGGGCTTAGCCACAGCTCAAAAATGGGGAGGGTTGGTGAGAAAGAAAAGCAAAGCAGAACCACACGCGGTGGCACATGCGGCGCACTCTCAGGAAGCTGAGGCAAGCAGGTTGAGAGTTAGAGGCCAGCCCCAGAACCCCAGAAATTTGGCGAGACCCTGGTTCAAAATACAAGAAAGAAAAAAAAAAAAAAAAAAAAAGGCCAGGCGCTGGTGGCGCACACCTGTAATCCCAGCAGCTTGGGAGGCTGAGGCAGGAGGATTGTGAGTTCAAAGCCAGCCTCAGCAAAAAGCAAGGCACTAAGCAACTCAGTGAGACCCTGTCTCTAAACAAAATACAAAAAAATAGGACTGGGATGTGGCTCAGTAGTCTAGTGCCCCTCAGTTCAATCCCCAGGACCACGTTGGAGAGAAAGAAAGAAAAGCAGTACAAAAAACAAACAAGCAAAACCCCAATATTTCAAACTTAGGAGTAAGGAACAGATAATGGGATATGGAAAGGAAGGGATGATTAACAATATCATAAAGAGGTGGATAAAATGGCTTGACTAAGGTCTCAATCCAGCAAGTACTTATTAAGCAACTATTATGTGCTAGACATTAGGGGAACAATGAGTAAGATGGGTTTTGCCCTCAAGTATCACCCAGAGAGAGGAAAAAAGTAGGATAAACAGGTGTGCATATATATATGCAACAGAATATGTTTAAAGAATAAAAAAAAACACCTTTAAAATCTATTGACCTCATGTGCTGAATTACATTACAGCAAAGTAGAGTGTAATAAGGAAGTACTTGCTGTTCTTTCTGCTGGACTTCTCCTGATAATTCAAACAGCTGATCCTTTCTCATCACTCAGGTCTTAGGAAAAATGTCACCTTTCCACACACTAGGGCCCTTCTAGTGGGTCACTCTATCTCAAGACCTGTTTCTTCATTGCCAAACACGTTATCTATACATGCATGCATATAGTGCGCTTCCCCCATGAGAACGGAAGCATCACAGAAGCAGAAATTTGATCTTGTTAGTTGCTACCCGCTACATAGTGAGCCCTCAGGAGAAAACATATATTCATAATATATCGCATACAGTACATGGAGGGGAGGCGAATAAACCTCATCAAGATTAAGACCTCAAAATCAAAATAGGCCGGTTTCCAGTTGCTTACAGCAACATACTGAGAACTTAAGAGACTCTCAAGAGCAAAGCCATTTTGAGGCAGGGGTTGAAACAAAATCCAGGGGTCCCACACGAGATCAGTGTCTCCACTTGACTATCTTGCATAGATTACAGGAGTACCCACCCGGTGTGAGATATTTGACAATGAGGCCAGCCAGCTGCCAGGCTCAGGTTTTATTTCCGTTGTCCTTCTGACGTCAGAAAAAGCACGAGTTTGCTGCACAGTTTCTTCTATCAAGGTGACAAATTACAGCCTCGCTAGGCCCCACATTCTGCCAACCATACATTTAACGTCCCACTCCCCCTTACATTAAAAAATGGAAAAACTCATTGCAGAGATGTCAAACCCCCTTCCAAATGCAAATGAATACGGTTTCCCAGCGGCCGGGTTTTTCCACTCTTACTACGTACATCACCGTAGACTGGTCTGAATAAAGTACGTGATCCCGGCGGCAGTTAGGTTTCCACGGAAGAAACAGGCTCGTAAAAACTCCAGATCTGCGCCGCAGAGCGAGACACAAAGGACTCAATTGTTAGCACCACCTTCGCCGGCCAAAGGCAGCCTGTGAAAGGCACTGGGAACGGCGTGACGCGGTTACCGCGAAATTCCTTTTGCCGCCATATGCACTCGTGCTTTCAGTGACTACAGTTCAGAAGAAACCCAGGGCCTGGAGATTCGGCAACCAAGCGGCGCCCAGGCAGCGCGATCGCCTGCGGGGTCCCAGTGGGTGCTAAGAGCTCCGGCGCACAGAGAAGCGGATTATTTGGGGGGGAGACTAGGGCGGGGAGCACGCAAGATCGAAGGCGCGTTTTCCTCCAGGAGAGAAGCCTGAGAGTTTAACGGCCTTTTGTGGCAACATTTAGGGACCAGAGAGAGGTGATGGGGTGGGGGGAGGAGGTGAGCCTGGAGGGGCGCGCAATCCGCGAGGGGCCTGGCTCAAGCGGTGGCCTTTTGTTAGCCGGCTCCAGTGGATCTGGGTCTCAGAAAAGAACTACCTCTTTTGCCCTCTCTCTCCATTTTGAAAGAACCTCTTCTGGGCGGGAAAAGACAATGAGTCACTGCCAGCATCCTTTGATAGTCTCCCCCCCCCCAATCTTCCTACTTGTCCTCATTAGAGACCCGCAAAGCGCGAAGGAGGGGCGACCAACGTGCTCCTGTTTACTCTGCTCCGCGGCTTGGCTCTCTAAATAGTGGCCAGTACCTAGACCCTGCCAGCCGCACGCCGGACCCTTGGGGAAAACACACGCGCTTCTCGGGGCCCTACCGACTCAGGAAATACCCTCCCCCCAGGGGATTCATACACTTCTCGGGCACTCAGCCCCCTCACATTGTCTCCTCTCTCCTTTCAGACCTGCGTGGTCGCTGAACCAAATGAAATGTAACCAGACCTGACGCCACACTCTGCCACCATAGAAACAGATCAAAAAAGTAAGCCACAGCCCCTTCAAAGGTGAAATCAGGGACCCTTGCGCTTCCTCGCATTGCCGCACCTCAGGGAAGAGCAGGGGACTAGGACTTTTCCTTTCCGAAAAGCAAAATCTGAAGACATCAGGCGCAGCCGCGCTCTACCTCCTTTCATGCTAGGAGAATTTCTACGTTTCAGCCTCCTCTCGCGGCTAAAACCATCACTCCTCTCCCTACCGCCGCTCCCCCAGCCCTCCCTAGGGTGAAAATAATCACCTTACCTTGGGAAATAAAGGGAAAGGTGGCAAAAGGCGATGTCAAAGATATCCCTTCCGGATATTCCCAACTGCTGTTTGATGTCCTTTGTGTCAAGGTCTGGCTCCCAGGGCTGGGAAAAAAGGTGGTCCTAAATCAGCGAGGGTTGGGCTGGGAAGCTTGGCGTGGCAGATTTCCGAGGAAGGTGAAGGGCGGAGGTTCCCAGCGACCTTCAGGCGCAATGGCGTGGCTGCCCCAGGCCGCGTTCTTTTGGCTCTCTTCCTTTTGGCTGATTGAATCCGAATCTCCTCCCGCCCCCCAGCCACCGCCACCACCAACCCTCACCCACACTCTTATCGCCAGCCTCTCACTTACATCGACACGCTCTGGCGTTCAGGGTCTCGAGCCGTAGTCATTTCCTACTGGGAGGCGCGTCGTCCTTCTGCATTCAGGGGCTTAAGATGTTTTAACCGGGAAAGTCAGGCCATTCCTCCACCGTCTCCTCCCCTTCTGCGCGCCCGCTTTCAACCAAAGCTGCGTGTCACTAAGTGGTGCTTGTCACATGGTGTCATTGCTGGCGGCCGCGCCTTTCTGCCTTCCTCTAGCAGCTCTGACGTTGCAGTGACCGAGGCTGGAGGCTACTGAGCATCGGGGGAAGGGGTGAGGGAGGATGCGGGGCGCGTGCGTGAGGGGCTTACTGATGAAAGCTAGGAGAGTGGAGGCTCCACGCTGCCGGGACACCTGCCCCGCGCCCTCCTGGGGACCGGCAGCGTGCTCCAAACTCGGGTGCGGTAGTGGTTGGAGAATGGGAACCTTTGGGGTTGGAGGTGGAATGGCCAACTGGGCATCCGCGGAGGAAAGGAAAGCTGGGCGCTTGGGGCGGAGGGCCACATTTTGGGGTACGCCAGAACCAACCAGGGCCTAATAAACGAGAGGAGTTGCATTGTGGGAAGAATGCAGCCTGAGGATGGCCGCAGGAGTGACTGGCGGGAATGCAGCCCAGAAAGCTGCTGGCAGCGCCTGGAGCTACCGGCAGGGATGGAGCCGTGTGTCGGCTCCTTGGGTGGCCGGTAGACGGCCAGGGTTGGCGGGAAGGGGACCGGAGTGGTTGGGGGAGCTGGGAGCGCAGAGCCTTTGGAAATCCTTTGTCCCTAGCCCGCCCCAAGAAGTTCCTTCCCTCTTCCGGATCCTACACCCGCAGACCTCGCCAGCCCTCCCTGATATCTGCGCTGTGCAGCTGTTTTGGGGACTGGGTGTGAAGCGCACCAGAAGATACGAAGGGCTGGGAGCGCGCACCTGCCTAGGCGCGAAGAGACCAGAGTGGAGTATGGAGGAGCCCGAGGACCTCATGCGATTCCGCCTACCCGCCCGGCGCCTCCCAGCGCCCAAATCGGGGATGGGTTGGGGACAGAGGGAGGCAGGCAGGGGCGACCGAGATCGTTCCCCCTTTTTTTTCCTGCTTTTTCTTTGTTTCAAGCACAGCCCCTTTTAACTGGCTGGGCACTTCTTGCAGAGGGATGTGTCTCCTTAAAATGGCGACAGGAAATCCCACCTGCGCGTCAGCCAATTAGACTGTCGTTCAAGCGCGAATTTGCAGGGAGGAAATTTGAGCTTTTTATTGACAGAGATGGTTTAGTCTTCGTGTTCCATCAAAACAGGAAAGGGAAGGTGAATCATAATTCAGAAATTAATCTACCTGGAGTCGTTCATGGGGGCAGACTGAGTAGTCACTGTGTGGTAGGGGCTGTAGCTTTTTAATCCCCGGTGGAAAAGTGAGATGACACCCAGATTTTAAGTTTCTCATTATTGATTAAAATTCTCATTCTCTTCGATGGCAGGCGTTGTTCTTGGCTAGTTCGATTGGCTTCCTGAGAACCCTGTTTAGGAGACATGTTCTTGATTATACCTGTGAAAGTAAAAGGGCAGTCAAGGGGAACTGAAGGGGACCGAGGTTCAGCCTCGCTCGGCCCACCCGGGCTCAACTCTTAAGATACTTATCGCTTCCTTCGCCTGATTATCTTTTGTCCTGGTGCTGTTTTTCTAATTTGTAAGAAAAGGAGATAATAGTACACACATCACAAATAATCTGTAGGTCATCAGAAACTTGATTCTTTCTACCCTTGTTCCTAGGGGAAGTTAATTTAGAATGAAATTAATGATTTTAGGTAGTGTGTACCTTGTCTGGAACAAATAATTGTTATAAATAAGAAACCTAAGTAGGTAAAGTAGATAAACTATAAGCCGAGTTCAAGCCTGTTGAAATGTTAACCTTTTTAAAGTTTTAACTTAATTATTAGTTCCTACACACCAAAAGACTGCAGTTACCTTGCACTTTTGAATAGGATTCAGTGGTTATGTCCTGAGGCCCTACTGTTCGCCAGCTATTGTACTAAGCACTTTACATGTACATATTTACTCATTCAATAATTTTCACCCCTCAATTAGGTATTATCCTCATTAGATAAATAAGAAATTAGGTTCCAAGAGGTTAAATTTGTCATGTTTACAAAAGATTGTAAATAGTGAAGGGGGAAGCAAGTTCCATTTGGGTCTAATGTGAGTCCATGCCCAGTCTTAGCCACAGTGCTTCAACCATTGGACAATCAGGCAAAAATCTTCACCCGACCTCTGGATTTTAGTTGACAACCTGGAACTGGAGGAAACCGAGGCTGTAACGAAGGATTGTTGCTGTGTGGATGTTGTGGTGGAAGGGGGAAAGAGGCAGTGTTCAGGAAGAGTGCCTGGTAACACCACTGTGAGCCTTTTCTCAGAACTGCTTGTAGGTGAAACTTCCTTTTTGATACCCTTTCAGTAACTCAGCACCTGAACACAATCGCTGTGATCTCAAGTGGGGTCTTCAAAGGATGTCTTGACCATGGCTCCTCTCCTTAATGTGTTCAGAGACAAGCAGCAGGTTAAGCATCTTACACATGATCTCTAGTTTAATCCTCACAACCTTTCTATCAGGACACACTATCCTAATCCCTGATTCAGAGGTTAAAAGATTTATTTCATTTCAAATCCACACATTTTAATTGGCACATGCAAGTCCTGAATCCAGTGTTGACTCCAAAGCCAGTTTTCTATGCTGGCTCTAAAATGTCCTTCGATTCTGGAGTAACCCTCTTTGGAGGGTGAGGAGGTGGGAAGGGCCCCAACTCACTCAGACTTCTGATAGGAAGTACTACTGTTTTCACAAAGTCCACGGAGTCAGTTTGCCCAGTTTTAGGTTTTTGAGCTCCAAGGGCATTGTTACTAGTATTGAATGTTATTTGTAAACCTTTTCTGATTGAGCAGATTTCCCTAACATCCTTAGGAGACATTAACAAGTTTTATCATAAAAGGAAAATTGGATAAATTCACCTGGGTGATCTCCAGTAGCACCATCAGCTATTTTTTTTATATTTATTTTTCAGTTTTCGGTGGACACAACATCTTTATTTTATTTTTATGTGGTGCTGAGGATCGAACCCAGCGCCCCGTGCATGCCAGGCGAGCGTGCTACCGCTTGAGCCACATCCCCAGCCCTATCAGCTATTTTTTATGGCACTAGGAAAGAGAGACTTTCCAAAGTTGATTTGTGAAGGAAAATTAATTGTACCCCAAGAAAGATTGAATGTGATCTTAAGTCACATCTGCTCTCATCCCAGCTTCACCCTGTTCTCCCTGCAGTTGCACTTGCTCTCTGCCTGAATTACCCAACAGGACAGCTGCAGAAGGGGCCATGCTGGCTGCTTACAGAGAATACCTGCTTTCTTCCATGGGTTTTCAAAGTCTTTCAAATATATCTGATCTGATATTAAGTAGATTGCTTGTATAAGAATTTTGAGTAACAGGATCAAAACTATTTTTAAAAAATATTTTATGTTTTAGTTGTAGTTGGACACAATACATTTATTTTATTTTTATGTGGTGCTGAGGATCGAACCCAGGCCTTGCACATGCTAGGCGAGCGCTCTATTGCTGAGCCACAGCCCCAGACCGGGATCAAAACTATTTTCTGAATATAGTTTTTCTTTTTAATTTGTAAAGGACTAACACAGGGCAACCTGAATTTTAACAATATATTAAAAAATAAAAAAATAGGGCTGGGTTCATTGGTGCATGCCTTAGTCCCAGGGACTCAAAAGGCAGAGGTGGGAGAGTCTAAAGTTCAAGGCCAGCCTCTGGAACTTAGAGAGGTCCTAAGCAATTTAGCAAAACCCTGTCTCAAAATAAAAAGGGCTGGGGATGTAATTTAGTGGTAAAGCGACTCTGAGTTTAATCCCCAGTACAAAAAAAAAAAAAAGAAAGAAAAAATAGGGAAGTCAATTGATGAGGTTATTTAGGAATGAGTGTCCTGCAAATTTCCTGTATGTAACAGGAGCAGTGCTGCCACCAGATGTCCAAATCCTACCTCAGTAAAAACAGGTTGTGTATTCTGAGACCACTCTTTTGTTCCTATTTATATGGTCTACCCTAGAAAAACAGATGGTCTTTTACAATTCCTGGTTTTTCTTGACTGATGAAATCACATTTTTTTTTTTTTTTGTCTGATTAATCCTTGTTACCATCCTCAAGGTTCTTTGGATCACATCCATACATGACAATATTTTGACACTAAAATTGGTGGAATAGCCACAACACAAAATAAATTCACAATGAAAGGAAACAGCGACTGACTATCTTGTCTGTCCTTCTACAGATACATGACACTGTGTGGTCTAATCCCCCTTGATGGTAGCACTGTAAGAGGTCAACAACTCTTACTGACTCCAAACTTAATTTAAACTAAAATCCTAAAGCAGAGTGAGCCTCAAAAAAAAAAAAAAATCTGTTATCTCTGGTTTTGGCCTAGGTTAGCTTTCTTAGATCACGTTTGTCTGTCAGGGGAAACTGAAGGTGACGTCACGTTCATTAGTTATTGCAACTGTATGGTGATACAATCTCATTCATTCAAGTTCACTAAAGAACCAAGGCCAAATGAACAGTCCTGGGAGTTCAGTGTCTAATTTGCCTCATGTTTATGCACCATTATGCAGATCAACTGAGTGCAGCTCCCCTAGCTATTTCAAAATGGGGTAGTGATACCCATCTCATAATCAAACGATTCAAGGTCTGCAAAGTACTTAAGCAGATGTTTGGCACAAAATAAGCACTCAATAAATGGTACCTATCATTATTTGCACACTTTGCAGAGATGAGCAGGGGGCAATGAAATGTCAAAGCACAACTTCACAGACACAAGGTATTCTGTCCTGTTTACTTCTTTCTGAAGAAACTATGAAGCCCATATCTCAGCTCAAACTCTTCCCACTGTGGCAATGGGAAAGAGAAGGTATTAGAGAATAGGTGGGCCTCCATTTCCACTCACAGCCTTAACTTTAAAGTGACAAAGTAAGCTTTGGGTACACATGAGAATACATTAATTAAAAAGTAGAAATGTTTCAAACTAGAGCATAACATCTACACTTACTAATGGTACCAGTGTAAATTGACACAACATTTGTGAGGTAGCAAATTTAGTAACTGTGGGCTCTGGAGACAGATCTTTGAGTTCTAGTTTTGGTGCCACAGCATATTAGCTCTGGAACTTTAGGTAAGTTACTTAACTTCTCTGTGCCTTCA